GTGAACAAAATAAATCTCAAATCCCTAGATACGATGCAAACATACCTAATGTACAGTGAACAAAATAAATCTCAAATCCCTAGATATGATGCAAACATACATAATGTAAGTTTTTGGTAAACTTAGATAAAATATAGTCAGAATTTAGACTCTGTACATTACCTATGATCTCTGACAATACAAATAATAATCACAGTAATAACACACTGTAATTACAAATCTACCTACAAAAATACAGGAACTAGAAAGCCACGTTCATTTGCTGAGCATTAGCCAAACATGCAGAGAGACAGAGAACGCTGTTACTTGCTAGGAAAGCTCCCTAGAACTTACCAGCTACGCTCAATTCTGATAATCTTTGGAAAATAGAGGGTTCCAAACCTGACATTTACTGTTAATCCAATATAGTTCATTTTTTAACTTTAAAAGGTCAGTAGTGTAACACTGTCATTACAAGAATTAAAAAATGACCTGATTAATCATTACATACATCGCTCTGAAGCTGCATCACATTTCTCGATAGCTCCAGATTCACAGAATCAGGCAAGAGCGTGTAATCGTGAATGAGCTGTTTATAGCCAGCGTTCGTAACTGCTTCCTGGGCTTTCTTGGCAGCCATCACACTGAACATATCCAAAGGAGTGTGATATTTGGTCTTGGTCACTTCGTAATCCTTCTTGTATTCACGATCTGATTGTATTTTGGCCACGTTCATGTAGTGAACAAGTTTAGGATCGTCCTGCAGGCTACGGTATCCAACCTGTTTGCCTTTTTCTTTCTCATATGATTCCTTGTACTTGTACTAGAGACAAAGGAAAAGAAAGCCTTACCCACTTTGGAAAGAGAAGTCATACTTTTGATAATGTTTTGAAACTCAACTTTCACAACTGCAGTTCAGTCTATAAACTCATAAATTGTTTTTCAGACAGCACAGGATCACTTAGGTCAAAAGAAGAGGAGGATTGCTGGATTTCTCAGCCTGTCATCACCCCTGGTATAGATCTAAACCTCCATATGCAGCTACATGCCCTCTCTCACCATATATTTTACTGCCATAGACTTCCAACTCCCAGTAACGTCCAGCTTTTAATAAAAAGATTAGCATAACAATGTATTATTGACAAGCCCAAGACTACCAAACCATTAGATATCCCAATACTCAGCTCTCGGAGGGAGGCATGTTTAAGTGAGGAATAGAAGACATTTGCAGCCTTTCGCTAAAGTGAGCGAGTTTATCTCTGTGGTCCAAATCTCCTTCCACAGCTCGTGTCAGACGGCACACCAAGCTTTCCTGTTGCCACTGACAGAGCTGCCTGAGAACACCCACAGTTCTGTACAGCTCGTGAACGCTAGACAAGTACAGGTCTCCAGCAATTAAGAATACAGCACAGGTAAGTTATAACAAAGGAACTTTCAAAAAGCCAGTGAATACTTGAAGCACCTACAAACAGCCCCAGCTCACCAGCACTCACACACATTATGATACATTTCCAAAGAAACAGGGTTTTTTCAGAGGTTCATGTAAACATCTGAATTCACTTGTTATTTCACAGCACCATAAGTGCTTCAACTCTCAGAGCTGAGTGTCTCTAGACCATTGTACATATATAGCATATGCTCTGTCACATAATGTGCTACAGAAAGCTGCAACACAGTAGGTGTATGTGTTCCGGTTTATGTAAATTATACTTACATCACTCGCAATATTTCGAGAAGCTTTAGCAGCAATAATGGGAATGGCATCTGGTTTCAGATCATATCCTTTGGCGATGGTTTTTTTCCAGTCTGCTTTGTAGTTCGCCTTGTAGGGAAAAAAAAGTATGAGTTTGAGGTGTTATGAGTGGCAATTTTAATGAAGTAATTTAAGCTCATCTTTTTATTATAGTTATAGGAATCAAAATAGTCAGTTTAGTCTGCGCAATTGCAAGGAAAAATGTTAACCTGTACATAAACTACAATTATGTTATGGTAAATCAGTCTACTACAGGAGATAGGAGAGTCCTTCAAGGCAATCAGTTTAATTCACGTAGCTAAATCATTAGCTCTACAAGAAATTTTTGCTATTTTATGCAGAACAACTCTATCAGTGGCATTTGTGCCCTTGCTTAAGCAAATCCCTTTTTCATTTGACTGAACCTTCAGAAATTTTTTCCTGTTAGCTTCAAAATCAGGCCTTGTGGTCTTCAGCGACTGAAGAAAGCAGTCTGGCTGATTTTTTGTTAGCAGTTAGCATCTGGACAGACTGACAGTATTTCAAGGCTATTAAAAGAGATGCCAGCTTTTACCTAGTAATGTCACCAAAAAATTGAGTATCAACAAAGGCAATAGAATTGCTACTCTCAGTGGAGGTCTTTCTGGTGTTGGACAGACGTGAGAAGCAATGGAAAGCAGGCAGACTAGAGGCTGAATGGCAGAAAAAAGGCCTTACTGTCTTTCCACCGCAGGAGTTAACTCCCTTTGAAAACCCAGCAGCAGGAAGCAACACACAGAGAACTCGTACTGCTTGCCTACGCAATGTGTTTTTTATATAAAAGTAGATGACAAGTCTCCAAACCTGTAGGAATCTGAACAATAAGTCATGCTGGTTTTCTCATTCAGTCTGTCCCGGTAGTTTGGCAATAAAGCACCGAAATGTGTTTGTGTTCGTGAGTGCTCAGACAGCTTAAAAATTTCTTAACAAGCACAAAACTCATTGACTTCTGGAAGTAAAAGTTCAGCTGAATTCAGAGCTTGTGCATTTCTATACTCAATATCATAGCATTAATAAATGAAAGTGGGTTTTTTCCTATCAATTAAATTACAAATAAATATATCATTGAACAAACTACTGGTCATATGCTCACATCACTCAGATTGAAGGCGTTGACCCTGGCTTGAATAAACTGAGGAACATCAGGATCCAGGGTGTATTTGTGTTTTACTTTTTCACCCTCTTTTTTATATGTTACCTGCAAGGAAAAATAAACAAACACTTGTTGACAAGTACAAAGTAGGTAACAGCGTTAACAGAAACAACGCCACAATTTTAATTCTTACCAACAAACTGTAATTTTTATAGTTTTTAAATTTTAAAGGTTTTAGATGGAATTTGCCATATAATTCATAAACATGGTAAGAAAATAAAATCACTATATGACATTAAGAACAAAAAATTTCTTACATCACTCAGTTGCTTGGTGTTGTGCTGAGCTAAAACCATGGGTATTGAATCTGGTATACTTGTAAATTTGATGGTGTCGGGGTGCTGACGGTATTTCTTTTCATTTAACGCCTCTCCAGCCTTTTTAGCTTTTTCAACATCCAGTGAACCAAGAGGACTCCATCCAATACCCTTGAACCAGCTATTATAGTCTTGTTTATACGCATTCTGCAGGAGAGAAAGCCAACATGGACCAAGGTTTTCCCACAGAACTGTAATAATTCTGTTGAAAACCATAATCACACAGTCTAGCTTCTGTGGTCTACATTAGCAGGAAATATTCACAAAGTCGTGAAGGGAACAAGAGATTTTTTTTTATGCTTCTCTGATTTCATAAGGAAGAAAACAAGCTACTGCATTTTTGACTCATGATTCACTTCTTATGAACTGTAACATCCCTGCAGTATTTGCTAACCTTCCTTTTCTTTTACCCATGTAAAAAAAAAAAAATCACGAACCTTCAATTCTTAAATTCTAAACTACCATCTGGTGACCAATTAACAGGATTTAATTTGTTCTGTGTTTCAGCAGACTATGAGACTTGGCCTTATACACAGAACAGTGGAGACAGAGCAAGACAACTTAAAAATAAAGAATAAAACAAAGTTATGTTAGTTGCAAAAGTTTTCTGAGGAAACATGAAAAAAAAAAAAAGTTCCTTCGAATTCAATATTCCAGAAGTCTGATCTCCACTGATAAGCCAACATCAAAATCCTGTTGAGTAGAACTCACTCGGAATTTGGTATTTCTAAACGCCACCACCAGCGGATAAAACTTCTAACGATCCTCCCCCAGACGCAAGAAAAACAGACCATTCCCATGCAGTAATGGCATTTTTCACTGCGTATAAACCCATATTTTCCTTTTCACAGCGTGCAGGAAAACATCCATGAAATTGCAGTCACGGAAATACTTACATCGCTCTGAATTTGCATCATGTTCTTTGCAAGTTCAACATCCATGGCGTCCGGCAGGTAAGTGTAGTGATGGATGAGATTTTTGTAGTGGGCGTTAGAAGCTACATCCTGAGACTGTTTAGCAGCCTGGATACTGTACATGTCAGGAGGCGTGTGATAGTTCGTCTTGGTCTTCTCATAGTCTTTCTTGTACTCACGCTCGGACTGAATCTTTGCTACCTTCATGTAGTGGACAAGCTTAGGGTCATCTTGCAGGTTTCTGAAACCAACCTGCTTGCCTTTGGCCTTTTCATACGCTTCTTTATATTTATACTAGAAACAAAGGAAAGAGATCACATGTACTGTGTCATGGCTATTGGTGTCCACACTAATGCAAAAGAAAAGAAAAGCAAAGCTCTCATGACTTTCACTGGAAAACGAAGCTGCAAACAGCTCAGAAACCCTCTTAAATGGCACACCCAGCGACTATACCTCCATTAGCTTTTCTTGCTCCACCATCCAAGCCTGTACACACACCACAATAAGATTTATCAACATTAGCTTTTCTTGCATGGAAGGGAAAATATTTCCTAAGCATTCCTGTATGGAATCGTGTATGAAAAATACTAGGATAACTGAGACAATACTTCTCAGACATTTGAAAGCAAGAGCAAACACATGGCATATGGCTGGCCAGCTTCCTCCAGTTAGATGAAGCCACTGAAACATATCCCACTTTAATACCATTTGCACTATAAGGCCTTCTGACTCACGTACAAGCCGTGCTCCACCGTATAACCAAGAGCACCCTTAGCACATACTGTCTGTAAACAGGTGCTAACGTAGTGTATTGCCTGGAAGTTTGTCACAGAATGGTTGCAAGAGCTACCGATTCCATTTCTCCTGTGAAAAGTGGATGAAGAAACACTGGGCAATAGCATTTACCTATGTAAAGCAAAAAAGACGAGCAAAAATAAGTCCTACACAAACTAAGCCTTTGGGAAAGAATCTCCTAATACTGACTCTAGTGAGACTTGTGCAACATAGGAGGTCTACCATACGGCCTGTAACGGACAGCTTTTTTACTAAATGCCCAAGTATACCTGGAAGAGGTACTTACATCACTAGCAATGTTTCTTGAAGCCTTGGCTAGAGTAATTGGAATAGCATCAAGCGACACATTGTTCCCTTTAGCTATTAGGTCATGGTAGTCTTGCTTATAATATGCCTAAAAAGGAAAATCCATATTATTCCAGAGAACCTAGTAATCACATCAGCTATATGCAAGTCAAAGCTACTCCTAAGCTACTCCAGGCAATTCTTTAGAAGCAGATGCAGTGGGGATTGTATATGACTATCAGTCTTCATTTATGAGACCAGATCATTAATTGAATGATTATATGATCAAATGGTGTCTGGCTGGAAGTTCAAATGACACCAAGAACAAAAAATTACAGTGGTACAAGGTGATTATATAGTCTACTATTATAGAAAGTTATATGAGTATCTGTAACATACTACTCAAAAATCATTAACAATGTGTAAAATACGTTGTAAAGTTGTCACTTACATCACTGATGTTAGCTGCATTGTATCTAGCTTGGATAAACTGTGGGACATCTGGGGTAAGAGTATATTTATGTTTAACTTCCTCTCCAGAAGATCTGTATAGTTTCTGCAAAATATATCACACAGAAATAAATCCTTCTTTCCTTGTATAGCTACCCCCAGCTCACTGTAATTAACTGAGGGGTTATGTTTGATTTTGCAAATAAACGTCCATTGCCACCTATCTCAAAGATTGAGGCTGCGCTTTTCATATAGAATTGTTGATCTTATTGATAGAAGGAACACATCCTAAAAGCTCTATGCAGCCTTTACTCAGTAAAATTAAGCCCCTTTAATGGACATAAAAACCCATTTCTGAAAGAGCCGGATAATAAGGGATGGTAGGAGAGTGTAACACAAAACAAAGCTTGCTGGTTTGTAGTGATGCACATATTGTGATTCATCAAACATCCTGTAATTCATTCATTATTGTAGGTGGTAAAACATCAATAAACAACCTGAAAACTTCACATTTCTTAAATCAAGTGTATTTCAAACGTACTTAAACGATAAATGGACAGAATCAGCTGACGTGAACTGAAAGAGCCACATGATTTCCAGAGATTTGCAGAATCGTAGCAGGAAATCGGACAAAATCAGAGCACAAAACAATGACAACACAGAGAAACACTTTCCAGCTCATAGTACATTAAAAGGTTTTAAAGACCATGTCTACTTTACTACAACACCCATTTCTTTGTCTACTTACATCATTGAGTTGAATTGAATTCTGTTTGGCTTGGACCATTACTGGAGAGTCTACCACACTTGTAAATTTAATGGTGTCTGGATGCTGACGATATTTCTTTTCATTCAAGGCATCTCCAGCTTTTTTAGCTTTTTCTACTTCTAGTGAGCCAATGGGGATCCAACCAATCCCTTTCATCCAGTTGTTATAATCTGCTTTGTATGCATTCTAATAAAGGAGTGAAAACAGTGTTATAGAAGTTAGGAATTAGAAAAAAAGCAATTTGGGGACCTCTCCTGAGTCTTCAGAGTTTTTGCTTGAGGCATCTCAAAACCAAATTCTGTTCACACGAGGTTTTACTTACATCACTCTGAATCTCCATCATATTTTTGGTCAGCTCCACACTCATTGCATCTGGTAAGTAAGTATAATGGTGTAGGAGGTTCTTGTAATTAGCATTGCTGGCAATCTCTTGAGCCTTCTTGGCACCAACAACATTGACCATATCCAGTGGAATGTTGTTCCTAGTTTTGGTTTTCTCATAATCTTTCTTGTACTCTCGCTCAGACTGCAGCTTGGCTACCTTCATGTAGTGAACGAGCTTGGGATCATCTTGGAGGCTCCTGAAGCCAACGAGTTTACCCTTGCCAAGTTCATAGGCTTTTTTATAGTTAACCTGTTAGCATAGAACAGAACGCGGAGAATATCACCTTAAGCGTAGTAACTTCACAATAAATGAATGAAAAGCAAAGGCTACCCTTTGTTTTCTGCAAAGAGCATCCATCCCATTTACGTCAGTGACCGTACATCCGAGTAAACCCAGACATGTAACTGTACAATTCACTGCTACACAAGTCAGTCGGTCAGCTTTCAAAGTAGCATCATCTCACTTGTACTGATCACAAGAGGGAGAGGAGTCTTAAAATGCTAAGGGACTTCCCCGAGGCCAAAATATCTGCCCAAACCCCAGTGAGGTCCTAGAGTCTTTATGATCAGGCCTATAATTAAGGACAGAGAGAATTCAGAGGTCCATTGCTCATGGAGCTGTCACTACTGACTCACTCCTTAACCATACTGGAGTGCAAGGTAGCTTACTTATTCACAGAGAATTACATCATGAAACAGCCTTTCCTACATTATGCAAATACGTTAGTGAAGCAATGAAACACCAGTAAAAATATAACGTGTTAGATACATCCAATAACATGCTCAAAAAAGGCAAGAAAAAGTTATCCTTCAGGTATCCTTAATAAACACAATTGCAAACCCTGGTTAAGCAACCCCTTTTGAATTCCACAGTTCCTGTAGGAAGGATGTACTTACATCACTGGCAGCCTGCCTGGCAGCCTTGGCAGCTCGGATAGGAATAGCATCACTTTTTAGATCATATCCCCTTGATTTTAATTCTTCCAATCCCGTTTTGTAATAGTTCTAGAAGAAAAGGTGAATTTTCAATGAAGAGTTGCTAGCTAACAGAAACTTCATATTATAAGAGCTCTGGATTCAAAATGCACATACGTCACTAATATTGTAGGCATTAACTTTAGCCTGTATGAACTGGGGCACATCTGGAGGGAGGTGGTACTTGTGAATAATCTCTTCACCTTTGGATTTATACTTTATCTGCAAACAAAAAAAAAAAAAAGAAAGAAATTCAGCAGCCCAAGGTTTATAGATTGCAAAAGCTTAATAATGCTGAGCGACACAATTTAAAGACCTCATGTTACCTCACTCACACAGACTGACTGAAATCCTAGTCCTTGCCAAGTGAATGGTATAAACACCATTGACTTAACTGGTGCAAGGAATACGTTAAGAATGATGGACACAAACCAAACTGCAAACACAGACACTAAAAATTGTGTGTGTGAACATGAACGGCCAAATTGAAAAAACTAAATCTGATTTCCAGGTGATCTCCCACCAGAACAGAACTGCGAATACACCCAAAGGTGTCTGTGCTTGTCTGTGTGTACGTGCACACGCATTCACCTACACATTGCTTTCAGTTTTCCTACAACTGGGTGATCAAGTGAAGGTGGCCACAGTGCAGACATTGATAATGTCAGAGCGCAGCAACACGTTTTCCAAGTTTACTTACATCACTCAGCTGTTTGCTATTGATCTCTGCTTGCTTCTGAACTGGAGAGTCGGTCACTTGAGTAAATTTCGTTTGGTCAGGATGCTTTTTGTAGGTGTGCTGGAGGAAGGTAATAGATACATTTGCAGAAAATGTGTATAAGCAAAACCACTTCATAAGACACAGCAATGCAGCACTACTTGGGATAGTTAGCAGTTACAGCATGCATGCAGACCAGCACTGTCATGCACAATGGTTCTCATGTTACTTTTTAACATAATCAGAGAGAAAATAAAAGTATTTTTGAAGTATGCAAAATATTTTACAAGGTATATGAATATTAAAATGTATAGTATACTTTATAATATATTATACACAGTATAGTACATACATTTTAGTATATTATATACACATATATTTTAAAGTATTTTCCAAGTATTGATAAAGTAAATAATATTAGTATTAATAAAGCAACCAAAGTACTTTTAAATTGTTAATGTAAAATATGTTGACTTAAGCAGGTAAATGCTTGAGGTTCATTCTTCATTTTGGTACCATTCCTCTAATTTTATGGTTTTAACTTGTTAAAAAAAGATTGTGCTATAACTGTCTTGATCACTAGATGTCACAAAAGGCTCTAAAATACAGATGAATATGAGTTTTCAAAGTCTCATACGCTGATAAAGCCAAACTCAAGATCATTGAAGTTAACAGGAATCACTATAAATTTCTACATGCCTCCAAAGAAGATACTCTGCATGTAGCTGGCAACTGGACAACCGCTACTGTCCTGTACTTACATCTTTACACTGCTCCAACTTCTTAATAGCTTCATACTCCTGAGTTATGGTCTGAGGGAAGTAGCATTTTGTCTTTTCCTCCTCATAATCTGCTTTGTAATTTTTCTAGGAATGAAGTCAACATTCAGTAAGAAACCATAATGGAGCTTTCTCTGAAATGAAAGTATGATGGCGAAAACAATGACTGCCACACTTACATCACTCTTCATAGCTTCAACTTTCATGCAGTGTGTATGATGTGGGTCCTCAAAGCTGCCCAAATAGTGTCCTAAAATATTCTTTTGATATGCATCTTTATATTTTACCTGGGAAAATATTGACAGGTTGATAAGCAAAAGTAATCAAGAGTATCAGTACTGCACAACATAACATAAATCAAATACATACATCACTAAAATTCTTCAGAGCGGTATCAATCTGGAACTTTGGTGTGTCACAGTAATTCATGCTGGTTCCTTTTGACTGTTCATAGGCTTCTTTGTATAATTTCTGCAAAAGAAAACAATGTCAGATAATACAGTAGATTTCACTGCAACTCACAACACACTAAAAAGGACAAGAGTAAAACTGTGGAATGATTATGAAGAAAAGCTTTCTAGAAGATTGAAAAACCAATCGTACTTTTTTCCCAGTGATTTTTTTAAAAAAAACCCTTTTTTTAGTGACTGTATCAGGTTTGTAAGGGAAGACAGAAAGGTCTGACTAATGGGTTTTGAACTTCTGACAGGAGAAATAGGCAATCTCTTTCCACACAGGTGAAAACAGCGAGAGCAACTGAGAAAGTCATCACAGATGGTAATCAGAATACAATATAAATGAATAATATGTAAAAGTACGACATATTTTATCATTATTGGCATCAGCTGAGGTTCCTTAAAGCAGTAAGGGAAGAACTGTCATCTTGTGACCCGTTTTCACAGGGATCTAGATGACCTACACAACAATTAGCTGCCCCCTAACATGCCACAGCTGTTGTTACACGCTGCTGTGGAGGAATGACTCCTTATCCGCACCGTTCTGGTTGGCGGTATCTCATGGCAAACATCGGTCTATAAAACTAAAAATACCAAGAGATCCAAAGGAGAAGCCTTGTGAAGAAGTGAGGAGTTTGGTTGATTGTACATGACTGAAAATCATCCAGCTGGACTTCGATAATACTTACATCGCTCAGCGCATTTCCTGCAGCTTTTAATTGCCTCAGCAGTGGGTTCTCCGTAGCAGGAAGCACATTATAATCTGCAATAGCTTTGTTCTTTTCATAGTCTGCTTTGTATTTTATCTTTAAAATAATAAAAACAAAGAAGAGTGAGGTTTCAAAAATCAGTATTAAAAGCCAAATGCTCACTAACCTGTATCATCCGCAACTTTTCAGGAAAATTTCCCCTGGTTTTTAGCTTAGGGCTTACCATGGCCAAGGCCCATGAAAGGCACTCTGGTCACAGGAGTGCACGGGTGATGAGATGGGAGGCAGGGTCACAAGGTAAGCGAGAGCTATTTAGTAGATGTCCCCACCTCTAAGGCCCTTTCTGAATATTACAATTTTTTCAAATATCAGTTGACATCTCAGAATAGTCACATTCTGACAATTAATTAGGTAAGATTGTCTTTGCTGATGCATATACTATTGCAGAAAATGCAGAAGCCGAACAAATTCTGTATTTTGAACAAATATCAGGTTTGGCCTGACTTCAGAACTACACGCAAGCTAAACGAAGGGCAGCACACGTTACCTACCTTACTGACATTATTTGAAAGTCGTTTATTAGCTTCATATTCTGGAGTTTCAGTCTGCATAAAGTAGATTTGGTCTTTAATGTTTTCAAAGTCTTCCTGGTATTTTCTCTGTTAGGAACAGAGACAAACAGATAAAAACATATCAAATGCACTTACACTATAAATCAGACATCCACCAAGTAGCTTGTTTAGGAAAAGAGAAACACCACAAGTGGAGCAGGCAAAATTAATCAGTATTTTCCACATTAATGTAAACAGAGGATAAAGCTGTTCATTTCAAGAATTCATTCAAAGAATTCACTTACCATACTTATATTTTCTGCATTCATTTTTGCAACTGCAACATCATAGCATGGAGTTTGACTCCACTTGCCTTTGATATTATCTTTATAGTCCTTGTGGTAAACGATCTATAACAAAATTAAAAAATAAAAGTTAGCCCCCAAGATACAGCGCAATTGTCACTGGATGGATTTGTTTTTAAAAGTCATCTTTTTAAAGTTGCTTCACATTTTACTTCTGCCTTATAACCACTTTATTATTTATTGTCAAAAACACCTTAAAAATGATTTGGCCAAACCACACCAGTATTCAGTTATTTCTCTTAGTACCTTCCCTGATCAAAAAAAAAAAAAAGGATAAATAGGTGAAATAAGCAACCTCTTCTAGAAGACAGTTATTAATAAGAAAACCTCTCTATGAAGATCACCAACACGTTCTTTAGTTCTGTTTTCTCACTGGTCACATAATATTGGGACATAGTGTTGCCCATTGGTTAAGACAGAATTTATTGTTATTGCTGCTGAAACTTGCTGTAAGCAACCCCTTTTAATCCCTGCATTGCCTGGCGTATCCGACTTCCATTAGACTCTGTTCATGGACGTGGAAATCCAGGATCAATTGTTTAAACAGACAGTTCCTCTCTGTCTAATAATAGAACATCTTCCCAAGTTTTGACTCAGTGTTCCAGTTGCTTATCACAAAAAACACAACTTCTCCAGTGCCCTCTAACTGCTACCACGTTGATACAGAACACATATGCCAAAAAACAACCTGCAATGAATTCTACATTTTCCTGGTTGGGAGACACAGATATAGCTTACTGTGCACTCATTTCAAAGAATTATGATACTGAGTTGCTTTTTACATGTCTAAAAATTTTCTTGATGACAATTTAGCTTTTAAGCCAGGGAAGAATAAGATTCAAGAAATTTTCTCTACATTAAATACTACCTTATTTCACCTTCCAAATGGGTTTACTACTATATTTTTTTAGTGGCTTTGCAACCCTAAGTGAATCCTATGACTCCCTACTCTTAAACAGCAGATCATTTTCAATACACAGCAATAAAATCATGCATGTCCTCAACATAATAGCTGAATTCTGAACAGAGTTAAAATCCTACTTCTCTCTTACAAGATTCTGCAACTTAGTTCCAGTTTCTCCAGCAAAAGTTGGTCGTCCTGTATTTCACTTTACTTCCTGCACCCTTCAGCTGTATTTTATTCTAAGTATACCTAAAATGCATAGACAAGGACTGGTGCTAGAGTCTTTGTTCATCATGCCACACAGTTACAGGATTTAATGTGGATTGTTACTTGTTAATTCGGTGTGTAAATCAGGAAACGGTTATGCAAGTTGCCACACATTTCCACTGATTGGTATCCATGAATTTAAGAATGCTTGGGATACGTACGGGTACAATGGTTTGACACCGAAATGAACATTTAGGATGCATTCTGTGCAGCCGACCTAGGCAACTTGTCAGCAAAATGGGACTATTCCTTGTAAGCAAGTAACTCACTCCAAAACCAGATATATATATATATGTGTGTGTGTGTCATTGTTTATATTTAAGAGAACAGCAAAATGGATGTTATTTACAGAAAGTGTAAAGCAGGAGACAAAACAAAAGAGGGAGAATAGGAAGCAATGTGCATATGGTAGAAGCAGAAATGTTTTGTGAAAACTAAATATTCTAAACAAGAATAAAGTTTTGCCTTTCACCTGACACTGGGCAGGATTTTCTGAGACACTTGAAGCAAGAAAGTGACTGCTGCCATTGAAAATCAAAAGGGGTCTTTCATATGTGCCCTGGTCTTGTCTTTTGCTTTCCCTTTCTTTAGATACCTCTTTGTCTCTCTAGCTCTAAAAGTGAGGTTTCTACAGGAAGTTTCTACTCACATCACTCAGCTGCCTTGTCACTTTCTTGGCTTGTTCCACATCAGGTGGATCTGGCAGAGGAGTATATTTAGTTTTTTGTTCATCATGCCCTTTTTTGTAGACAATCTGAAAATACAGAAGAAGTAAACATTTACAGTAACTACCAACTTAAGCATCAGAACATTTGCTCTTAAGTCTCCTAACACCACCTTTAATGAAAGCAGTTCTGTCCACTGCTACTGCAGCATAAAGTCTTTCAATCAATGGATCCTGGAGGACTACGCTCTTCACAAGGGAGAGTGAAAAAGAATCAGTTTCCTGGGAAAGTTTTCAGGTATATTACTCTGCTGCTCCTAATAAACACAGACTAGTGAGCTTCTGGACATCTGCAAAATTCACTGAAATCTTAAAGGTGGACCTGAAATCCTCAGCTGAAGAGTTCTACGTATCTAAGTATCAGCAAATCACACAGCCTCACAAAATTCCTGACTTTTCCTATCACTGTTTTAGAGAGACAGATTTGTAGACCCACAACAGTGAACTGGGCTTACAGACAACCCTGAGAGTTTCTCCACACGTTTTGAGAGATACCTTCTTACTGATTACCTCAGAATATCTTTAATAAATTAATTAATCATTCATTCATAATCTGGCATCAAATTGCCAACAGGTTTATACTCCGATATAGAGTATGTTTTTTCTACTGAAATAGCACCGCTATCAGAGCTATCGGTGCACACCTACACATCTGTATTTTGTGTTCCCTTATGAAATTTTTATATCCACCACGAAGTCCTCCGAGTTACACTGTAACAGTGACCCAGCTGTCAATCAGGCTTTGATACTTACATCACTCAGAGCCTTTTGTGCCTGTGCCACCCTTCTGAGCTCTGGGCTGTCATTGTACGGATAGAATAAGCTTTTGTCTCCTTCCCAGTCTTCAGTATAGAGTTTCTGAAGAAGAGGAAAAAGCCAGAACACCCATTATGAGTTAAGAGGTGACTTGGAATGCTTCTTGTGCTTCAGCTGCTTAGACCTGTGAGGTTTTTTTCTTACCTTACTGAACATTGCTGTGTTTTTTATTGCATTCACAAGCTCTGGAGCATCAGGGGGAAGCAGGTACTTGTCCTTATTCTCCTCCCAGTTCTGTTTATATAATACCTGGAAAGAAAGAGCAGCATGTTGGTTACTCTATCATTAGAAAAACAGTTACTTTTGTGAATAAACTACCTGCTCTAAAGACTTTTTTCAAAGTGAAAGTCTCAAACCAGTGAGATTTGAAGACATCAATTGGAAACATTTAAGATTATATTTATAGTTGCGTTACCAACGTCTCTACTATCTCTCCCTGTGCTTCTAAACTGTTCCACAAACACTGCTTTAGTGCCCTGAGCTCAAAGCTTTATTCATATCAGTAACCTCGAGATCCGCTGATGTTCACAACCCTTCCAGAGAGTCAGAACTCGCTCACCTTGCTCACTTGCTGTGACACCTTCTTTGCATGTTCTATATCCCTGGCCTTTTCATCAACGTGGCAAATAGTTCTAGCAACTTCACCAGCCATGCGGTATTTAACCTAGATTGATGCACAACAAGACACATTTATTCTTACAGCCAAAACTGAGAGTTTTTTAAAAAACCAGAATATTGACATTTTGACACTTGATACTGTAAACACCCCAAACCTGAATTCAATAAAGCATTTAGAACTGTTGTTCCTTAGAAATGAAGCCTATGAAAACAGATTTTCTGAATTTACTGAGAAGGAAATGCAGCTTTGAGATAGTTTCAAGAGATGTGAATCCCAGTTAGAGGCAGTGCCCTTCTGTAATCACAGAGTTCTTCCTAAGAGCACTTCCACCCCGTATGATGAGATGGAGAGATCCCCATGCTATGCAGTACATCTCAGTTACACAGCCCATTACCACTCGAACACCAGCTGTAGTGCCCAAACCATTACACTACCATGGCAAACCAGCAGCTTGGGCCCCAAACCATCCTAATGCAGTACTGCCACCCCCAGCCTGACAGCCGGCTCAGTCAGCGCTAGCGCACAGACTGCGGCATCGCATTCCTCAACATATCCCAAGTCAGGAGTGGAGCAGAATTCAAGGCACGCCCTTCTCCTCAGTCCTGAAATCTGATAAAGTTTCTACTAAGTGTTCAGATTGCCTTATCACAATATCATATTAAAAAAATCACTTCTTTTCTAACATTTAAAATTGTGACTCAGTTTTCTTCTTTACCACTCAGTAAATGTTTTTTCTTATGACATTGATACCTACCTCACTGAGCTGGTCCTGCACTTTCTTGATTCTCCGAATTTCTGGGGTATCAATTGTGGAAGCATATGGCTTTCCTTTTTCTTTTCTATACTTTTCTTTGTACTTGTTCTGAAAGAAAATAATGACAAATATAATTAAAGATATACCCTAAAGCTCTGGCAGAAATACATGGAGCAATTATTGACTTATTCCTCTGATTAGTACAGGAATCTGGGGCAGATTACTCAGTAATATGAGCTAGCATTACTCGGTTACACTTGCAGAATTATGCTTATTTTAGCCAACTGACTTTCTTCCATCCAACACAATAGAAAAAAAGTCCATTTTTAATTTTAGCCTGGTTTAGAACACCTCTAATTGATGATATTCTCCTTAGGAGCTTAGTATCCATAGATTTACAGTTACTTGTTTCAGTGACCAAAGAGGAGGAAAGTATGTGGGTGAGGGTAGCAGTCCTAGACCTATGATCTCACACAATCCCTTAACAGTGAATGCTGGCGGGTAATGTACATTAAAATTTAGGGAAAGGGATCTGATACCATCTACACGTGTGCAGAGCAGTCGTGTTCCACTTTTCACAACGTTGTACAGTATTGGTCTACTGGACTTTGGTGTCCTGTACCAGGAACTTACGTTGGTGCTTATAGAGTCACAGAATCGTTTAGGTTGGAAAAGACCTTTAAGACCATCGAGTCCAACCGTTAACCCAGCACTGCCAAGCCCACCACTAAACCACGTCCCTGGGCACCACATCTACACGTCTGTTAAATACCTCCAGGGATGGGGACTCCACCACTTCCCTGGGCAGCCTGTGCCAGAGCTTGATAACCCTTTCGGTGGAGAAATTCTTCCTAATGTCCAACCTAAACCTCCTTGGTGCAACCTGAGGCCATTTCCTCTCGTTTTATCACTCGTTACTTGGCAGAAGAGACCGACCCCCACCTCACCACAACCTCCTCTCAGGCAGTTGCAGAGCGATGAGGTCTCCCCTCAGCCTCCTCTTCTCCAGGCTGAACACCCCCAGGTCCCTCAGCCGCTCCTCACCAGACCTGCTCTCCAGACCCTTCACCACCTTCGCTGCCCGTCTCTGGACACGCTCCAGCACCTCCATGTCCTTCTTGCAGTGAGGGGCCCAAAACTGCATTCGAGGTGTGGCCTCACCAGTGCCGAGCACAGGGCCACGATCCCCTCCCTGCTCCTGCTGGCCACACCATGGCTGACACAGGCCAGGATGCCGTTGGCCTTCTGGGCCGCCTGGACACACTGTTGGCTCGTGTTCAGCACAGCCTATATACTGTGCACGAGGATTTTTCTTGCACATATATATAGAAGGATAGAGAAATACACTGTTCTTAAAAAAAATGCTGAGGTTTGCTATTCAATAGACATCAGTCCTGGTTATCCTCCTTCACTCGGATATCCGAGTCAGACAGCGCAGGGCCCCTATTAACTGACACCTCTGACAACTCTCAGCCATCTGCCTCAAGCTGGTTTTTGTGCCTCATGATGACCTAACACACTGAAGCAGGAAAAGGGCAAGAGGAGCCAATTCAAAGCGGGAAACCTCCTGCTTCAGGCAAATAACATTAATACACATCATGAAGTGAAGCACAGGAGACAAAACAGTAGCATGAAGGCTTGCAATAATACCTATTAAATATTTTTAAAGCTGGCATTCCTCAATAAATAAAAAACGTGGGACAGTTTACCTCGCTGAATAGGTCCTTCATTTTATTACTGTGTTGCAGATAAGGCGTCAAAAACTTTGATGTGTCCACTTTTGTCCGGATTATCTTCTTTCTGACTGGAGGTGCTGCATCCTCAACAGAAGGTTTTCCATGCTCAACAGTAGGTTTTCCATGCTCAACAGTAGGTCTTCCATGCTCAACAGTATAGGTGGTAGTTGTAGGACCTGTGAAGTCTGTGCTAACGGTCTCAGTGATCTCAGTGATCACCTGGGAATAAAGAAAAAATAATTACTTGCTTTATAACCATAAATCATCATGTTATGATAAACATTTTTCACCTCCCCTACCCAGTAAAAAGGATGCCGAGTTCTTATTCAGGAACCATCTGCAAGATGAAAAGTCAGTGACGTTTTTCCTAATGGGATTGCCCAGTATGCCTACTATGTATCACCAAACCTGGAAAAAGAACCACAAGGAATTTCCTGACTGGCTGATTTCTGCATCAAACTTGTGTAATTATTCTCCAGAGGAGCTGGAAGAGTGAGGGCTCCTGTTCTATACGCAAAACCCACTGGCATCAGGGGGGTTCTCAAGTGGGACCACCAGCTACTAAAACCAAAGTGTAGAAATGGTCTCAGTACTGAAGCTGTGTTGAAGATGGATGTTGTGCAGCCAGGGCTCCTCATGATGTCACTGAAAGCCGTGAAGGCAGGTCAAAGGTGTGTACAGTCATTCAAAAAGATTATCATCTTCTTGAAAAAGGAAAGGAATGGACACAGTAGACAGACAAGACCAAGTCTTTGGGATCTTGCAGTAAGTACACGATGCACCAGCTGACTGAACAAATACCTAGAATCCACCTTTTCTACTAAACTACATTTTCTCACAGCCAGGTCACAATCATGGCAGAGACATAGCTGAGATACGTATATAATCAACTGATCAAGCATCTACTGGAAATAAAGCCCTTAATTTAAATGTTTTATGTCCTTGCTTATCAACATATTCAGGCTGTAAACAATTATTTTAACATTAAGATTTCTAATTAGAAGCGTTTAAAAATGTGCCTCAAAATCATCTGAATAAATGTCAAGTTTTATTTCATATCAATTAGCTTTTTTTAAAAAAAAAAACAAAAACACCTTTAAAAGGTAATGCATGAGGCTCAGATGTCTGATAGCTATTTGCATTAGCATGAGACAAACCAGAAAACGCACCAGAAAACCCTAATTAAACATTAAATTAAGCAATATACCAAATTTAAATTACAAAAGGTTTGGTTACTATGTGAACAGTAATTGCATTTCACTGACACTGTCGCAGGATGCACTGCCACAAGTTTCTCTCTTACAACTCCTTTCAAATACACAAGTGGTCATCTCAGTTTTGGGACTGAAAGAAAAACAGTGAAGCTATGTAGTTCTGTAAAAAGTTGTATTTCTAAAACACGGAAAGGCTTGATTCAAAAAAATCAGCATTTTGTGCAGAAAAATGCTTTTATTTTGATGTGATAACTCACAGGACCACATGATGCCAATGCATTAGACTATGTTTATAGCTGATGGGAAAAAGTCTAGTCACATTAGCTAGAAAGACATTCATACTTCTATGTAATTCTTCATTCCACCATATTGTTTTCATAAACTGATGCAAATCAGACACAGAAATAATCAGCCATGCCATTGCTACCTTTAAATCCAGTCTGGCTACACATTTTTAGCACACCAGATGAATTAATCTTGAAAACAATAAGATGTAAGGCTTCCTTCAAAACTGTAGTCCTCGATTACTTGCTCAAAAAGTATTAATCAAATTGTATTTTATTAAATTAAAAACACAGGAAGCCTTTCGGAACAGATCCTTTGTTTGGAAGGAAACACACTCACAAAGTGAAACATTAAGCCTTTGTTTCCCCACAAGCCTATGCCATTAAGAATTATATTTATATTCTAAGTTGAATTTCAAATTACAGTAATAACTCCTTGGTGACTCAAGTATTTGTTACTAGTGACATAAAAAAAAAAAATCTACAAGCCACCACTTTGCAGTGAGATCACACAAGGTGAAGGGAACTGAACTATGTAAACTGGTTTCAAGCAGAATCTTTCTGTTTCCCTTCATAGCAAGGTGAAGTGTAATGCATGTACGTGCCTGTTGTTCACATGTACATGTCTAGTCACATTCACCTCCTCGATAATTCTGCTCATCTTTAACACTATGGCTACGTTCAGCCTGTAGCGGGGGGCTAAACTCTAGCAGTCGCTCTCTCACCCGATGACCCCTCACCAACCAGGGAGGAGAATCAGGAAAAAGGAGAGCAGACCCGTGGGTAGAAGGGAGAACTGATTTAATGAACCACCACCAATACCGACAGAGATATAACAAGTTATACTCAGCCAAATGAATGTCCAGCCATCACAATCAACTGGAGAGCAGTCCTCAGGAGGAGCCAGAGGAGGAGCAGGAGGAACCTCAGCAGGGACCCCACAGCAGCAAACCTTCCCCCTTTATAATGACCATGACGTTACGGTGCGGACTACACCTGTAGCTAACCCAAGTCAGCTGCCCTGGCTGTCTTGAGCCTGCTGACAGCCTGCCTTGCACAGCTGGGCTGTTATTCTGTCCCAGCCAAACCAGGAAATCTTTCAGCTCACTCCAAAGCCAGGTTGCAATACCATGCATATCTTTTACCTAAGTAACCTTCCTGCCTGTGTTTCTGGTTAGTAACGTAAGCTGCTGCTTCATTTTGTCAGCTCCTGTGCAAACAGCTGCTGGGCAGGAGCAAAGGGAAGGCTATCAGCAAGACATGGGGCAGGACAGAAATCAGCACAGTCCTTTTCTGATGGACACATCCACAACTCCTTCTAATGGAAACCAAAGAGTGGCAGATAAGACACTCAGAACAAGCTAGGAGTCCTCTAGATCATCCCACAACAGGCTCTTTCAGAGGAAATAAAGCATTAAGAAGCAGCTGTTCACTGATATTTGTGTGTTTAATATGAAAAATTAGTCCTCAGAATACAAAAGGCCACTAATTTAGCATTATGCATTAATTACATGCATATATACATCACATGCAACATCACAGGGACCTTTACCTCATGTGGTTCACCCTCCTCAATAATTGTCTCTTCAATGTAGTACTATTAAAAAAAAAAAAAGAGAGAAAAAAAAAATCATTGTTAGGCCAGATCATACAGAATAGCAAATTTTAGCTTCTGTTAAGCTGTTTCAAAACCAGACTTCTGGAGAAATACAACTGCAGTTCATAGGTAGCTATGTAGTCACATTTGCATCCTTAGTAATTCTGAACATCTGTTAATTTTTTGCATTAATGACTGGATTTTTTCCGTACATTCCTCAGTTAATCATCCTCCCAAGTAATTAATGAAGGATCATTATCTAATTTTACCCACAAAAGGGAAGACAATGATGAGCACACTAAAAGAAAGAATCAGCACTGAAAAAAACCAGGGTTTTCCAAGTGTTTGGTAATACGCTGAGAGGACTGTAGCAGGTTTCTTCCTCTAAGGCTGTCCTCAGAGTTGTTCCTGCCTTGAAGGACACCAATAATAACTGCTGCCAGCTAGACTTTGTACTACTGATGACAATTCTGAGCTCAGCAGCCCAGTCAGTTTTCCACCCACTTTACTGTCCACTTACCCACTCCACATCTCATAAATTTGGTGTTAAGAAGACTGTGGGAGACTGTTTCAAAGGTCTTCCTAAAGTAGTCAAGATATGCAAGTGGTCTCCCCTTATCTATAGCAGCAAACTCATTACAAAAAGTAATGAGTTTGGTCTGCCATGATTTGCCCTTGATTAAGCAATGTTCACGGCTCCCCATGACCTTCATGTCTTTCATGTGTTTAGAAATACCTTCTAAAAGGATTTGCTCCATAGCCTTCCCAAGGACTGAAGTGTGGTTGACCAGCCTGTGGTTCCCTGGATCTTCTTTTTTGCGTTTCTTGAAGATGGATATAACATCTGTCTTTTTCCAGTCGTGAAAAAACCACTACAAGCTTTCAAAGACCATAGCAGGCTTGCAGTGTCATCAGCCTGCTCCCTCAGCACCCCTGCGTCCATCCCCTCCAGTCCCACAGAACCATGCACAACCCAGTGGATAAAGTCATTCCTAACTCTGTCTTCCTCTGCTGCGGCTACTACTTCACTCCCATGTCTCTGCTAGGAAGCTCAGAGATGTGGAAGACCATAGGACAAGCCTTAAAAAAACTGAGGCAAAAAAGGCTCCGAGTACCTCAGCATTTTGCCTGTTTCTTGTCATTAACTTCCCTGCCCACAGA